TGGTGTGTTACCAAATGGCATTTCAATATCTTGTTTCAATGCTAAGTGACATACTATGTTTCTTACAAAGCACGAAAACAATCAAGAGTACGCTTCTCACTTTCCAGTGTGGATAGTGTAACACGAAGCTTTATTTGTGGCCTAAATTGCTGTGTTATGACAATTTAGGGAAATGTGGCTTTTTAAACAGTAAGGAGTTAATGCTGGGAAATGGAATGTGCTTATACTGTGCTACTCATGAGATCACTCAAAAGTGAGTAAGATTCAAGCGTACAAGAAGAAAAAAAAAAGGCTGTTCGTCCTGAGAGGCTCTTTGTACAAGTCAGGAGGGAGGGGTGGGGCAGAGGTGTCTGGTTTAGGCAGGGGACCGTGTCCAGCTTGACGTTACCAGCCAGTGGTACCTTCATCAGACCTGAAGGTAGTGCTGCTCAGGTCTGTAGAGAGAGAGGTTCCTCTCTGTGAGGTGTAGGAGCTGGAGCAGCTCTGCCTGGGAGCATGCGGCGAGAGGAGCCTTTACTGCTTCCAGTGCTGCAGCAAGCATGCAGCTTGCCCCCCACTGCCACTAGGCAGGTACGAAGATCTTTTTCTCCCCTGCCAACTACATAATTTGAGGAAGTTTTTCAACTGACCTAACTAGAGTCTGCCAAGGGCAAAGAAGCTCCTGTTACAGGCTTTTACTTTCCTCCTTCATAACAGGTGCAACCCAACCGCAGGACAGTAGTTTTTCCACTGGCTCTATTATGTTTATGAAACAAATGTATTTCTCCCTGAGGGCAGGGAGTTTGTGTTGGGGCTCCTGTAACTGAGGAAACAATGGAGCAGGCTGAAAACAATCCTGGAGCTAAGGACCCATCCCCTCAGTATGTTTGGCAGTGAGGGATTTGTGCATAAGCCATTTTATATCTATTCTATTGAGTTCCTTTAAATTCATTCTATTAAACACACAATTAGTCTGGTTTAGAGTTTAAAAAACCTGCCTTCTGATTTTGAAAGTCTTCTTGATAAACAAGAGACCTAGGCAGATGTGCCTCTGGCCAGCTCAATGTCCCATCACCCCCTAGCACTCTAGTACTCTGGTTTCCTAAAAGTAAGACAAAAAGGAACCTTGTACCAGAACTCTGCTCTACGACAGGATTGGGTTTTGCATTGAAATACTATCTACCATGTTTATTTTCTCAGATAATAGGAACAAAGTCAAACACTAATGTTGCGGTGTGTAATGGCTTCCCGGCCAGCACAATTGGAACAACGTAAAATCCACTGTTGTTCAGATAGTTTCTGAACTTTCGGCAGGTTGGGCATGGGCACAAATAAAAAATGCTGCCATGCAGACGTTGCAGGGGAAATGTGACCATCTTATTAGCATGTCACTGCTGAAATAGGATTATGTGGCTGCAAATTCAATCTTTCTTTTCTCCATTTTTCTATCTCTGCTTTCTGCATCTTATTTTGGTACCTGCAAGGTTTGTGTTTGGTTTTCTTTCATCAAAGAAAAGAAAAAAAAGGAAAGAAAATATTTTAAGTCTAATTAGATTGAAAAATGCAACTGGATTTATATGGTTTAAGTAGAGTCTTATATTGGGTTCCCTACTACAGTTCTGTTGCAGCTCATCCTGGTCAGGTACAGGTGGGCAGCCCCATTCCACACGCACAGCCCTGATGGTTTGGTTAGGGTGTTACCTGCTGTTTGTAAACAAACAACTAGTATGTTAGAAATAATCCTCGAAAATGATGAACTGAGCTTCTGCCAACTTCTTTTCCTTTTCATTGATCCGTAGTTGCTCAGAAATTGCTCTGTTTTGCTGCCCAGAGAGTAATCCATTACCTGGGGCTTTTGGGGGGGGGAATCATAAGACTCCTCTTGGAGGAGATGACAAATAATCAAGTCCTCAGTAACTGCCTCTGCATGTTTTAGGAAGAGGTTTTATAAGTGGTGGTAGCAACATCATAGTTTCTCCTATTTGTACTATTCAATATGCTAAGTAGACATAAGCATATGAATTTGAGATTATGATTAAGAATTTTTCTGTTGACCTTCTTGAAAAGTGCCATTTTTCAAAAAAGAATAATTCAGTGTTAAATAAAAAATACAGACTGTGAACCAAAAATTTAGTTCTAATTTTAATAATCTGGAAGGGAATTAATTTTCAGTTGAACCATTGAAAGCTGACTCTGAAGTTTTTCATAGAATGAAGACAAATGTATTGTTACAAGAAGCTTTTTTCTATTTCTCTTTTTTAAGGGTTTTTTTCCTGTCTCTTTTAAGAGGAAGAGAAAATGTTCTTTATATCCAGAAGGTATTATCTACAGTCTAAAGTTTTGATAACCCACAAGGTTACCCAATACAGAAAAAATAGATCATCTTTCTCTGTTTTTGCAGGACATCTACTGTCTTCCTGTTATCTGTTAATCACCTCTGATGCACCTTCATGTTTTTAAGTCAAATATTTACAGTGGGACCTCTCCATGTACTCTAGCTCTTTTTATCCATTGATTTCACCCTTACTAAATCAGGACGCTATTATCATGCTTTCTCTAATGACTGCATTTACATTTCTTTGTTCTCATCAATGGAAATTAGTTTGCAGCTAGTGTTAACATTAAAATTTAGAACTATGCTTATTAGACTTGAAGTGGGAGATTTTTCTTTCCTGTCCTCAGGATACCCCGCAAAGTGGGATTTCCCTGGCAGTGGGTGATTTCATGGCTAATGGTTCAACACCTTTTGCTTCAGCAGAGATTCAGAGCCTCTATAAGCAACCTGCTCATTCTCTTTATTTATTGCCAACCCATCTTGGTTGGATCGCGAAGGTTAAAAAGTCTTGTGATTACAGTGCATGTGGTACAGCACAATTTATTAAATTTTACTGATTGTTTTTATATGCTTTCAGTTAAGGTCCTAGTACATACTGCTCTGTCTCTAGTATGTGTTGTGGTCTATGTATACAATTTAAGTCCATGGTTTGTTGTAGGCTCTTTGCTCTTGAAACCAGCTTCTCTTGGAAGTATTCTTGAAGTTCCAGTTAAAAAGGGGAAAGTGTGGAGGTTTCTGTAGTTGCTAATCTATGAATGATATCCCTGTGTGAGTAGTCAGTCATTCAGGATTCAGTTCTGTTAGTGATCCTTCTCATGTGATTGTCCTCAGTATCGCCATTGCTCTTGCACTGCAGCAGCCAACTGGAGCATCTGCTGTGGTTTTCTTGTGTTGGTCTTGGTTTTCTCCTTGAATTATTCCTTTCTCAGGTTGAGAACAGCTGAGCCAGACTTAGTGAGGCCAAGCACCATGACTCAGCAGTACTGTCTGACCAGGCATTTTCTCAGCACGTAGGTGATGCTGTTGGGAAGCCATGCTCTGATACTTACTTCTGCCAGTTTTGTCTGCAGCCGGATACATTAGTAAATTCTCCCATGGAGAGTAAATTCTCTCTATTCCTGCAGCAGTTTAACATCTTGTTTCAAAGATCCATCCGAAGAGTAAGCTAAATTTCTAACAGTAAAAGCTCAGAGTGAGAGTAATGAAGGGATGTCCAACCCCTCCAACAGCTTAACGCTGTTGCAATGTGTGTAAGTCACATTCTTTAACATGCCAGAAGGAAAATGCATGTTCACTTCTGAACTTTTTTTTTTTCTATTTAAGGGAAAAGTATTGAGCATGAGGTTTCTTTAAATGGCTTTAAAGAATTCATGGTGGAATTTCTCGGCCTTAAGATTTCGGGTACAGGCCCTGAGTTGGTCACAGCTTGCTCAGGGGCACCACGGGGTTTGGCAGAGATGGGCTGCTGCAAGATTTAGCTGGAGAGCAAGGCCTCGGGGCTCTGTCTACCCATAGGAAAACAATGACTGGTGCAGCATGTGCAGTGTGAGCTTAGACAGTCTTCATATACTGCTTTTCCTGTAATCCCTTTACAGGGAAAACCACAGCATTTGGAATTGCTCAGTTTTGGTGCCTACTTGATCCTAGTGTCCATTGGGGGCACATAGATACACCATCTGTGGGACAAAATGCGCTGGCTGGTGTGTGAGAGGAAGCCAGGTGGGCTCACTGGTGCTTCCCAGGCAGCAGCAGCAGGAGGTGACACACTGTAGAGCCAATAGAGTGGTGAGAGGACGTTTAGGAAGGTTTGGGCAGCTGGAAGCACAGACTACATGGAAATGAAGGAAATAGGTGATGCCAGATAGACTGAGGGCAGGAGCTGCCTGGGCTGGAGGTAGGACCAGGGAGCCGCAGGTAGTAATATGCTGACCAAAACTCTTGTGCCTTTTGCAGGTTATTGCAGATCATATTGTGTACCCAATTCTCCAGTAAAAAGAAACTGATGCCATGAGAAGCCATATACATATCTTTAAAATAATTTTTTTTTTTTTTTTACTTTTATCCTAATTTGCTAATGAAATTTTCTCCGAGGGGATGTGAGGGTAGTACAAAATGACCACGTTGCAAGTGAAGTGACTGCAAAAAGCACCAGTTAAGAGTCTTCCAGACCACCTGGGACTTCTTCACCCTTACTAATCACCTTTTTATTTCTACAGCTGTCAAAGAGCTAAGCTGTGGAGAGGAAGCGGAAGGCTGTGGGCCCTTCTTATTGCCCCTCAGCAGACTTCAAAAATTGCATGCAAAGTCCTCCTTATCCCTTATCAGAGTTGCTAGGACGACTGCAGCATTGCTGTCTTGCTGTATGCATGGATGCTTGCATGGGTGCGTGACTGCGTGCATGCTTCCTTTCACATGCTGCCCCGAGTTTCATGGTCATGCAGGGGACAGCAAGCTCTGACTTCCTTTCCCGTCCCTTGGGGTAAGGGAAAGAGGCAGTTCAGGAAAAAAAACATGTAAAATACACCTGAAAACAATCTTACAGTCACTGGGAAAGGGGACCCCACAGCACTTGCAGAACCTATCCAATGTCACCTTAAAATTAACAAAAGACAAAGTTGTGTACGGTTGTCACTTTCTTTTTGTTAAATTTTTTTCTTACTTTTTCCTAGAACCTGCCTGATGGTTTTACGTGTATCAGAGAGGTAAAATTTAAACCAGTTTGACTCTATCGGTCATATAATTTTTGTAGCAAAAGTTTTCTTAAGTCGGGAAACAGGTTCCCCATAGCTGAGTTTATTTCCACGCTGGCAGCAAACAAAATTACAGGTACTTGAAAATTGCCTAGTTCCTGGGTAAGGCTGCAGCCTAGGGAGCGTCCAAGTCCCCTCTGTTGTAGGTTGAGCTTCCACTCAACCTCCAAGTCCTTCTGTTTGTGCAGTGCTCTATCGCATGCCATGCTAAGTCAAGTACTTAGCAGTTCAGGTACTCTCCGTGTGAAGTTTTTAGATGGTATCAGTGGGAATTTTCCAAAAATCACCAGTGAAGCAATTTTCTAACCCTTCTAGTGAGGTTTATTTGCAAACACACCTTTGAATGGCTGCTTGGAGGAAAGCACTTGTCCCAAAAGCACATTTTCTGCAGCATCCCCATAGAAAAGCAGAGAAGCATCCAGCAGTCTTCCAGTGGATTTCCACCCGTTTCGAGAAGTTGTTTCCCTTATAAATGTTGCTACAGACAGATGAGAATGTGCAAGGAAAGTAGAAAAGAAAATGCTGTGCCAAGTAAGGTCCAGTGCACTGGAAGGACACCCTGCTGTCTCCTACCCTGGGAATGGCCAAAGTAATGCTATTTCTAATGCTGAGTAAAGTTAGTAAGCATCTGCAGAAACATTTGAAGTCAAATTTGACATTGTGTAGTTCACATGCAAATAATTTTACCTGATGTTAGTTGTGTGCAAGGAAGACGTTTTGGAGGTACCCGTGGCCTCAGACTATTCCTGCACCTCCTTTTTCAGAGTATAACCTTGTTCTGGTCTCCCTGTGTACAACTGTGAAACTAATGAAAGGAGTATAGAGGCAGAGGAAAGTATTTATACATGACATTTTGCATAGATCACTGCAAGGATTAGCCAAGAAATATTAAAATTCTATTATATTTTTTTTAATCTCAGAATTTTATTCAGTGTTGGGTTTTCATGTAGCTTTTCTCTGCAACTGGTGGTGTTCCAGGTTCACACAGGCAGAACGCCCGTGTTAAGCTTGACTGTTTGTGTAATGAATTTGGTGTTGCAGATTCAGTGGTGAAAATGGAGCTGAAAGAGTCAAAGAATCATTTCAGGAAAAGGGAGTGAATAAGGAGACATCAATTCCTTTTTGTTTTATTGGCTGAAGAGTCCCTTTGGTTTGGAAATTGATCTCTCCAGCCAGGCAATTATATTAATAATAATAATAATAATTTATTAATGAAGGGCTCTTCAGGTTCAATTAAATGTGTTTAATATTTGATACTTCAGTAGGTATCTTAGTGCCATTTTTTTATCGATGTTTGCCATGAGCAGATTTTAGTTAACCCTTTGTTAGGATTCATAGATGTGCAGATACAAGTTTTTAAGTTCTATCTGAGCTGTCACTCTGGGCCCGTCAGCGGGAACAAGCCCACAGGATTCTCATGTGTTAGTCTTGTTGATTTGTATTTGCCCGATGGGGTTGCTTAAAGGCTAACACTTAGATTTTGTCTTGCTGGAAGCACATGGAACTGCACAGAAATATTTTGACTGTTCCAGATAGTGGAGCTGTACTTGGATCCCTGCCTTTGCCCCAGGGATCTAGAACCACAGACCTCAAAGGACTTGACAAAAGCGGTATTTCCTACAGCTCCCGCCTACGTCAAAGGAGGGAACGCTGAAGCCAATGTGCTTCAGTACCAACTGCGTCAGTAATACAGCTCTCGCCTGACTCCCGTTCCCATAACCTTCTGCCGTAATGAGCATTTATGGACTCAGGCCTTTAGTTATTTCTCTTCATGAAATTTTCAAATATTTGCGGTTGGCTTCCCACGGGCAGGATCTATTTCCTATGAGAGCTGGCCAAGCAAGTATTCTGTCTGGAGATTAATTTCAAAGATGTCATGGATAAACTAGAGTTAATTTTTTCTTCAGGTCCTTGCTCCTAAAATATAGCTAATGTTTTTTTAATAAAAATAAGATGCAGTCTAATAAATCTTGCACATAATTTAATCCTCTTCTGCTGTATTTGTAAAATTACCCATTTCATCTAATACTTGTCAGTTTTACAATTAACGTTGGGCACATTAGCTGTATCTTACATTTTGATTTTTTTCTTTGACAAAAAGTGAATTTATTATAAGCAACATGTTTTCAAAATCCTCCCGTTAGCCATGGAGCCTGGCGTTACAGAGTTTCACCTTGCAGCCTTTGGAAGCAGGGGATGGGGTCATTTGCATTTTTATTAAATCATCATTTACGCCCTCCCTTTAAACTATGTTTTAGGCCTTGGGTTGTCCTCGGCCAGCCCTAACGATACAATGCGGCATCACTATAGCTCATTTGCCAGGCACATAGGTTGGAGGGCTGGAAACGCTGCAGTATTTTAGGTAGGCGTGTGGGAAAGGTGTTTGATGTTTCTTGTGTTTCACAAGCGAGTTTGGCCCAGCGAAACCAACCCTGTGCTTTTGTGCAAGATGTTGCTTGTGCAGAGGCAGCTGCCAGCAAGAGGAAGGGCGGGCAGGTTAATAAATTTGGGCCCGATGGCTGTTCAAAACTGGAGCCGAGAAAGCAGCTGGTAAATAACACACAATTGTTTTCTATTTTATAGTACACGAATACAACTTTGGCATTGTCTGTGACCAACTTAACCTGTTCCACTTCTGCGGAAAGGATTGTTGGATCTGAAGAATATTGATTAGGTGGTTTTGTATGGAAATAGGTCGCTAAAGTGAATACCAGAAGATGTGCTGTCAACAGAGGATTTTAGGACTCGATTTCTGTGCTGACTGTGGCACATCGCCTGCCCTCGGCTGATAGCGCTGCCGAGTTACTGACTGGGTCTCTAATGGGCATTGAAAGTTTAGGAACTGGTTTGGGGCAGTGTCTTAGTTCGTGTAGCTGTCCTGGATGTGCATTACGTTACCTGTGTATTCTTAAGATAAATTGACAATGAAACAATGTTTTCCATAACGTGGCAGATAAACGTGCCTGTGTGCAATGGAATGGAAAGATCTGGAAAAGTGAAATATTGGAGCAGATTGTTTTCCTTTAAAATCAATAGATTTCTTGTCTTTACCATGGGTAAGGGAAGGACTGAGTCCCTCTGCCTGGTTCTGTGATGGAGAGAAGTACCCAGCTGTGGTTGAAAATCTGTTTTCCTCAATGATGAAGCAATTTTGTCTGCAGGCATGTAGATGTACAAAACAGCTTTTATATGAAGGCTTAAATTACCTCCAAGTTTATCACTTGGAGAAATGCAAATTCTGCTCAGCAAAGTTTACAGCGGTGAAACACAGGGCCATTTGCAGGCAGTCTAAGTATGGAAATCTTCAAATTGTAACGATAACAAAAGGTAAAATTAGAACAAATATGAAAGGATGTATAAACCAAGCCTCGTTAAGTAATTTCCAAAGTGTATTCAGTTAAAATATTGATCTGCTCTAATGAAAATTCATTCTCTGCTCTTGAGCAAGCAGCAGAGAAATGAAATACAATATCTTTCATTAGCAACAATCCATAAAATATGCATGTGCATGCAAGTATGTCAGGATTATTTTTCTTTGTAAAGTGAAGTCACTCTTTATTTTGTCTGATACACAAAATGTGCCTATCCTATGGGCTAAGCAAATAGAGATCATGTTTTGCACAAAAATGCAAAATTTAGTAATTATTATATCTTGGACCTACTTTGGAGTAAGATTACCACAAGTGCTTCTACCAGACCCAGACTTCATACCCTCCTATTAAAGCAGCCATAAAAATATGGCCAGAGGCAAATTCTAATTCAGAATGTGCTACTTCCCATTCCTCCAGTTTTAAACACATTGCAAGAAAAACAGCTAAGCAAATGCACAAGCATGTTCTGCTCCAGCTAAACAGTGCACATGATCTTCAGCCTAGGACGCAACTCACTGCAGCTGTCTGGTGTGGAAGGGATTAATCCAGGGATGATTTCAACAAGTGCTGGAGCTTAAAAAAAAAAAAAAAAAAAGGACTGAATTATCATTTATTAGTACCTGCAAGCAGGAGAAATCTCCTGCTTTAGTTACTGATCCACCTAACTGGTAAGCAGAGATAACCCAACAAAAAAAATCGTGCTTTGAGATCCAGAATAATAAATTTGGACCTATTTGCTAAAGTGCAGTGCTCCCTAATCAGCTGTATGGTACCCAGACCCTGAGGCGGGTGTCTCCACCGAGCAGGGCAGAGCTTAGTTCCAGCTCAAAAGGGATGCTGTAAGCAACAGCTGTATCTCATCTCTGCTGCGGCTGGTCACACGTGTCACCTGAGCCGGGGAGGTGACCACACGCATCCCTCGCAGTGTCTGCAATCAGTCCCTAGGTCTGTTTGTGCACTTGCAAACTGAAGGAGAAGAAAATTAACATTAAACCAGTGGCGTGCCTGTTTCCCACGCTCAAATCTCTCAGGGTGTTCAGCAAGCTGTAAACAAGGCAAAACTGAGGAAGAACATGACATTAGATAAAATATCTTAACATCATGCTTTCCTAATAAAACTTTAAATTTGCATGTGCGTATCTATGTATATACACTTCTGCTTGCACTCACCACCATAAAGTGAGCTTCAGTTTAATAAAATTGCAGTGTTTATAAATGCAAGGGCTCATATTTCATACAGTGACATCCCTGAAGAGCTGGGAGGGACTGAGCCAGTGTTATAATGAAAATGTAAATGAGAAGAAATACAATATATATGATAAAATGCAAGGGCAGATGAGGAAGTGACAATCTCCTTTTTTGCCACTGAGGTTACTGTGGTTAATGTATCGGGTGTCAGAACGGAAGAAAAAGGTTTAAAAGAGCTGACTTAAGAGAAAACAGTGAAAGGAAACAAATAATGACAAAAAAAATCTTGGGGGGGGTCGAGACTATTGAGTTGGAAACGATAGATTTGTACAGAAGAACACGTTGTGTCCTTAGGTCTCCGGCTACAGGTCCCTCCCTGCTCTGAGGGCTGTGCTACTCCCACTGCGGGCTTTCGCCGGGAAGGGAGGAGGGATGAACAGAGGTGTTGCTGAAGGGAAATCTTTGAATATGGGATGATAACTGAGAAAAGTTTAAACGTAAATATCAATAAACATGAGGGAGGGAATGTTTGATCTGTGAGGCCTATTAATGTGAAATAGTTACTCCTAAAATAAGTGTTATCTTTTGAAACAGATATTACTGTGAAACACCACGGAAAATAGCTCTTCATTGGCAAGTGAGAGACAAAATGACCTAATAAGTCTGTCTCGTGTTTATTTTCTGCAGCGAGGCTCCAAGAAATGCCCAGGACCGGTCTGTTGCATCAGGGCATGTTCCACCGAAGGAACAATTTCTACCATTTTTAGAGTGTGTTTACTGGAAAATTGTTGGTCTGGTGTCATTTTGAGTGCCCCCTTGGCCAGATCTAAAGCTTCACAAGTTTTTTTTGCTAAGTTTCAAAATATTTCCCTTGAGAAAGGAAGAGGAAGCAGATGAAAGGATTAACCCACAGGGAACCATCAGATCCTCTTCAGAGGCAGAGGTTAATGCTGGTTCTGGAATAGAGAACAGAAGGAAAAAATAGAGTGGCCCTTAGAAAGGGATGAATTTTTCATAATTTCCTTTCTACGGTTTGTTATAAAGAAAAGAGCCACATTTCTCAGCATGGGAAATAGAATCAAATCTACAACAATAATCTGGCTTATTTTTAATATAGAAATATCTGCCCTGTGGGACCAAAGCTCGTGAACTGATTGTTGGAAAAACCTATTCTTGCAGGACAAGCTGAAGAAGATGAATTGTTCTCTTTCGAAATAATGATTTACTGAATGAGGCTAGTGTTGTCAAAAGACAATATATCATTATTAAATTACAATGTTCACCCAGTATTATTTTATTCAAGAATATTTTGAAAAAATAATTCCAAGACCCTAATTTTTGGTCTGCTCATATAAAGGACATCTGGATAAGCCAAAGAACTAAGAGTTTTGAGCTGTAATTCTGCAGATTTTGTTTAAAGCTATCATGGAGCTATAGAGCAAGTTTTCCATGAGTGAGACCTTTTTCTTTAATTACTTGGTTTTTAGAACACTAACACAAATTCCAGTGAGTGTTTTGGAAAACTGGTTGCTTAAAAAAACATATGGCGAATAAAATACCCACAAAAAGATTAGTCAGATCAAAAAGCTTTTGCAAAGAGTGTGATTTTTCTCAGCTGGATCTTTCCCGCCTCTGTAGAAACCATGTGAACAACCACATTGTAGGAACGTAAATAAAATCAAGTATGAGTAATCCAACAGGCTGGCTTCCCTCATTAGCCTCACCACTTACATCAGGTTGCACAGATTCCCCCCACACACACTGTTGAATTTTATTATAGGATATAAAGACTAGGTGGCCAGTATTTTACGCTTATATTTTACATTGGCTGACATTCTAAATAACTTTAGAGTGACTCAATCAATAGGAAATGTCAGTGAAAAGCTGGGCATGTTTAACTGGTTACAGAGCACGGAAGGGCTCAGAGCCTGACTTGCTTATATACTGCACAGCACAAAATGCATGGCTTCCTATGGAAAAACGAAACAACTGTCAAGGTCACATGTAAACTGCTTATTGCATTGGGGGACGGAGGGAAATGCAGGGGAAGGAATCTGGGGTTACACGCATTTTGTAAAGGGTTTTAGGTAAATTAACGGTTAGCCAAAGGTAAACCAAAAGGTATTTCCTATGCAACGTATGGATTAGTGGTGAGTCTCCCTAACCTAGATCCCTTCAAAATGGATTTCCTCTCCTTTTTTCAACCACTCATTCCCATTCCCTCATTTTAAGGAATTTCTTCTCCACTTTTTTCTCTCTCTACAGCTTCTTCTGCATTCCTTCATTTTGTGGCATGTGTTCTCTTTCAAAGAAAATGGCTTTTCCCCCTTATTTCAATTATCTGTTCTTTTTCCTGTAGCAGACATCCTTTTCCATCTCCTTTCTTCTAACAGGAGCTATAATTTCTACGCGCTTCATTTTCCCTTTGTGTGGAGAAGGTGTCTCCTTCAGGCCTCTTCTGGCCACTTGCCAGCGTTCAGTAATTTTTTCTGCATCATAAATGGTTGGGATACTCTTCTTCTGTTCCATGCTATTACAGTCTCTTACCTTTATTTCCTTGCTGTGCAAGGGACCTTGAGCATAGTATTTAGGCATGTATTATCAATGCTCAAGCCCCACAAATGCTGACTGAAACTCCAGACAGAGGATTAGGAGGATGGCTCATCCTGAATTCACCAATATTTCAAACTGATTTCTTAATACCAAAACAATGAACCAATGTTAATTAACTATTATCACTCACTTATGTGTGTCCTCCCTTAATAATCTTCATATATATGTACAGAATTAATTAACTTATGAAAAGATAGCTTTATTCTGGTCTGTTCTTTCACTGAGCCAGTCTGCTCTGAATTCATGCCTTTCCTCTATTCAGAGTGACTCCATTTCCTTGCACGTTTCTTGTGAAATCCTTGTCTTTCAGCAGGAATTACTATATTATATTTGAGCCCAATAACCTAAAACATTTTTACAGGGCAAAAGTTGTGCAGTTTTGATAATAAAGGGAGTTTTAGCTTTTATGCCAAGCAACTTTTGGATGTAGCTGGGATTTTCATGTCAGCTGAAATCTGCATCTGGTCCTTGAAGTTTAAAGAATCTTAAATTGGCATACACTAAGCATCTGTATATATTCGGGCATTACCTATACTGCTGGGGAAATGGGCTTGACAGGTAAAAACGCGCATCAAAAAAGAGGTGAGATTACGGTAATACAGGATGTGATATGTCTTGAGTATTTTTCTTCTTTGTGGGAGAGTGATCTCTCGAATAAAATGCACATAAGTATTTTTCATTGCTTATCTGTTTCCCTAAAAAGCCCATGCAAATGCAGGCTGGACTCATTACAGATTCAGCAACTGTGGACATCATTTTTATTTCTCCTAGGATTAAAGTGACCTTTAGTGTCTCTGTAGCAAGCTTTTTGGCTAGCACACAGAAGAGTTTCCCTCACTGTTTACCCTCAGTATAATGTCATTGTCTAATATGCTTAAGCATGTCTGCTCTCTCACTTACATTTGCACAGCTTTTTTTAAAGCTAGTACTTTGAAGGGCCTATTCCTCCACGCTGTTTCAATATTTAGATAAGAAATATCTGGTGTTGCCTTTTGGAGCAACATATCTGCTGCCTGCCCTTCTGTTCTCACCACCAGTTTCGGCTTTGTGAATGGGGAGCTAATTGGCAGCCCAGTAAGAAATGTGAGCTATTGCTTTACTCATATGGCTTTTATTTTGCTTTCAAGAGGTTGAAAACAGTTATACAGATTGGTTCTGTTAATGGCTTCTTTTTTCTCTATTGCTCTCGAAATCCAGTCTGTCCTATCCATCATGTTAACAGAGCAAAGGTAACAACCAAAATAAATATTTTCCTGTCTTCTCTTTCAGATAAAATTGAAGATGAATTAGAAATGACTACAGTGTGCCATAGACCCGAAGGACTGGAACAGCTTGAAGCACAAACCAATTTCACTAAAAGGGAACTTCAAGTGCTTTACAGAGGATTTAAAAATGTAAGAACAATACCGAGTCTAGTATGTATGTCCCCACCAGCCTCAACTGCTCAGCTGCATTTTGTATCATTCCCCTGCTAAACATTAGGAATTTTGTGCTAGATCTCCCCTACCACAGCAAAATGAGCACAATCTGCCTCTCCATCTAATATTTATGACACCGTAATCTGCCTACAACTGGGTTTGGATGAATATTCAGCACATAATAGTCTCATTAAATTTGTTCCCCAAATGTCAGTAAGCACACTGCAATTTCCTCAACTGTGCCAGTACTTCAAGATAACCTGAAAATGTTTTTATGGTTACTTATTGAATTCTTGCTGTCAGTTCCTCATGCTCAAATATGAGCAGTACTGTTTGCCTGTGATTAGCTGCCCAGGATGTTTTTTTTTTATCCTTTCTCTAGCTGGAGAAATCTTGCTCTTGTAGTAGGATGTTATTAGAGTACATTAGGACTATAAGGTCCTGCGTAAGTAGGGAATGAGGCTGGAGTGTCAGGAGCCAAAAAGAAATCAAAAGGAAATGAGTATCAAGACTGAGGAGACAAGAGAGAGGCGACAGATTTAGGTGAAAGCAGGAAACGTGCCAGCTGGCATGACTGCGTGCAGAGAACAGCACCCTGCTCGTCTTTGTGAACCATCGTTCCAGCCATGCTCTCCCTGGTAGCAGGGAATCTGCGGCTCCGTGAGCCTCAGCTTCTAGGTCACCTGCTACTGCCTCTTAGGGACTGATCATAATAAATAGAAACAGATAGGGAATTTTGAGGCTACATGGAGCAGATGTTTTATGGACCTTGAAGAATGAATACTCATTACATGGTTGCCTGAGGGTCTGGATTTAGTCGCCCAGGTGGTTCGTGCCAGCTGATGTTTTTATGATGATTAATAGATCAGTATCGAGCTAGCTCAATAAACACAGTGTGGTTTTTAAGTTGTCTTGCAGGACAGCTCCAGCATTTCAGCTACTGTTACAGTGAAATGCTGAAATTTCTTGGAAAGAGGAAGTCAAGTCTGTTGGGTAAACACTTGCCAAAAGAAAGCCGAGCTATCTTAAATACAGGTAGTGTTGAGGGAAACCTCCTCGACACTGAGAAGGGCCTTTCTTTTTGACAGATTCTTGAAATTTGATTGAATCACATCTCCAATATATACTTGACTTCTCCAAGGAGTTTGGGGGTTTCATCCTTTATTTCACCGCTCACCTAAGTGGGCCAAGGCACAGCTCAGCTTTCTATATTTTTCTGTTTAGTGCATGTGTTGTATTTGTACAGCCTTTGCTGCACGTAGGAGGTCATTTCATGTGTGAAGTTTTCTAACCACTGAAGACTGATATTCTGAAACCCGTTCGTGCTTTGAGCAGTCAGCAAGAAATTTTGTGGCTTTTGAGACAGAGCTTGACAAGTTAACGTACAGTATAACATGACATGACTGCCTACAGGGGGAGACTAAACTCAGAGAGTTCTTAACCGCTGTGTTTTGCTAAGATCTCTGAAATGCCTTCTGTGTTGCTGTGTTTGGTGGGAATCCTGTGTGGAAGAGCACTGCTCCATGCTGAGAGGAGGAGCTGGCTGTGCCAGCAGCTACAGTGCAAAACAGAGAGGCAGCCTTGCAACTCTCTCAGCAGATCTGACATTTCCCTCTTGCCCGTCCCAATTTTGCTATTGCTTTGCAGTACAGAGCATTACCTCCCAGGGCAAGAATAATGATAAACAAGTGCATTTAACTTGTGACCTAAACCCCTTCCTAAGACCTCACTGAAGGTCTTGGTATTAATTAGCAGTGCTGGCAAGATCTTGCTTTGTATCAGGTTGTTAGGACAAAGCAGTCTGTTTTTCTCCAGCTGTTATGCACACAATATGCGTGAAGCTTTAATATCTAAGGTTTAAATTGAAATGAAAGGGCAGCTTTAGCATTTGTAGCCTGTAAATCATGGTTTCAATGGGATGAGTAATTATGCACAGCATGCAAACTGACTCAGCTGTTACCATATTTGCTATTGTACCGAACCGTCTGCTTTTTGGGATGATGTTACAGTGCCATCTGGAGATTCAAAATCCCTGTGGGAATACAGTCATTGTCCTCTCTCTAGCTTGTACTTACTGCTTGCTCTCAGTGATCGCACAGGTCCTGTTTAATCATGAGGTAACACCTGGATTATCACAGGGCCATTTACAGGCACTTGTAATGGACACGGAGAGAATGAGGCCCTGCTCAGCCTGGCTGCAGTCACAGGAGCTGAAGATTGGATGTTCGTGAACATCCAACGGTGTTTGGCCAAAGGCAGTTCAACGCAGCCTGGGGTAGCCTCCGGACTAGTGTCCCGGCTGACCAGGGTCCGAATTCTCAGTACTTTTATTCGTGCTCTTTCTTGGTCTCTGAAATCTGTTTCCCCACTCCCTCCAAACCTTCCCAGTTTCTTCCTAGTGTGTCACTGGTCAGGTCTGGTGTTTCTGCACCAGACTGATGGAGGCTTCCACCAAATTCAGATCCTTTGCCACTCCAGAGAAGCAGAGTATGCTAACCAAGCCAGTGTCCTTGCTGGCTGGCCAAATGTCCCCTCTCTCTTTCCTTTCAGCTTTCTTTTCAAGTTATGGAAGGGTGCTGTTGTCCCACATTTCTTGATGCCAGGACCAAAAGTTCACTTTTACCTTAGCAGTTATCTCTGTCCCCAAGGTGCATTCTGCGTTATGCAGAATAGTCTATTTTGCACCTTGGAGTTAGCTGCTGTCAGGCTGGAGCCAGATTAACGCAAGGCATTTGGTCTGATTGCTTTGGCTGTGGTTCTGCAAAAGCAAGGTAACAGAGATGGCAAAAACCAGCAGAACCTCTGGTGGATCTTGCCTTGGTTTAGCTTAACAAAATAAAATGTGATACTTTCTGTCTATACTACACCAGGAGAGAGAATTGTTTGAGCTGAAAGGCAGTATCGGCATGGGAACAAAATGGCCATGAATAGGCATAGGCTGGAATTAGAAGAAAGTTTCCACTCCCCAGAGGACTAAAGTTTGGAGAATAGTTATGGAACGGGAGGGAGGAGAACGAGAAAATATTTGTAAGATTAAGATTGATAAATTGATCATTAATGAACCGACCAACAATGACAGAGGTTTGAGTTCAGTAATTCAATACCTCCTGTTTAGACCATGTTTCTAATGACTTACATTCTTTGGAATTGAGTGCATGGATTTTAAAAGGATTGGGATTTTTATGGGATTTTTTGCTCAATCCGGGAGGGTTCTGTGCTGTTAGGAGAAATGGTTGTTTGCTGCAAGGGATAATTTTCTAAAACTAAATCAGAAAACAGACAACCCAAATAACTGAGGGGCTGTTGGAGACATTCTTACCTTGCTTTAGTGTGAATATTTTAGCAAATCTGTAATGGAGTGTAGTATAAGATGTAATCATGTGTAACAAATCAAGTTTTTGGAGACTAAAGCAACCAGTATGAGCCAGGTAGAAGTGTTCTGGTACTTCAATAATCCCCAAAATATTTCCAGATTTCCAAAGTGGGAGAACATAGTAAGAGCAACAAAATACTTGGGATGTGTGAATGCTTAGAGATGCAAATCTGGATTGTGGATCCTGAAGGAGAATATGTTAAAGTCTGTCTGGGGTCAGCTAACTTAATACCGCTAGTTTAGCAAAATGTGACCCCCCAAGTACTCCTTTTCATGTTCTGGCCAAGTTTTCTGAGAACAGTCTGATGGGCAGGTTGTGTTTAGCCCCTCTTCAGTTCTGCTGCTGATCCCTGCTTGTCCACAATGCACGTCTTTGAAAGCAATCAGTGAAGTTAATTTCTGATTCCAGCAGAAGAAAGAACAGCAAGTGTAACTTTTGTTTGATTTTCTTTTTAGTTTTGGGGGGGGGTTTTAATGTGGATTCGGCTCCTTTGTGGTTCAGTATTTTAAAAGAAGTCTGAGAGGGTAGATTCATATACATGATTCATGCTGTCAATGCCAATGCTCGATAGTTAGCTTTTTAATAATGAGGGGTTGTTTCTGTGCTTGACAACAATACAAAAAAAAATGTTTACTGTTCTTGTTGGGCATTTTAAAAGAATTCATAGGTTAAAGAAATGAGAGGTGTTTACCTGAAACCTAACTCCCTGCTGTTGAAGGAAGGCCTTACGAATGTTACGGTGAAGGACCGTGCTTTTTCATACTGCCAAGAATTTTTTCTTGAATGAGTACACCTTTGTCTTCAGTGGAATTTGAACTGACACTAAGCTTACCTGTTCCTTTTCACAAGAGAAATTATGCGCATTATTTGCATTATTTGACTCTTATAAAAACAAAATTGTGATCAATTCAGTGCAAATGAATTGGTACTAGCATATGTGTCTGAAAGCAGTCCGGTTATAGAGAGCTAAACAGGCTGATCAATGTCAGCGCTGCCTCTCCCCAGCACTCCTGGAGGTTTGAGGCAAACTCTCATTTGGCTTCCAGATGGAGCATCAGAAGCAATAAGGATCATGTGGAAATTCAGAAAATTTAATCAGGCACAATGGCCAAAACTGCTACAGGAGACCTTGCCTCTGCGAGGAGAGTGCCTGCAGCAGCAGCCTCTCCTCTGTGCCTGCCCTTCGCAGACTTAAACTTCATTCTCGGGGTTGCTAATGGTGGGCTGGGGCTCTTAGTAAACAAGGGCTATTAATACAGCATTGTGGAAAGTATAGAGCAAATAATGATCAGTCCCTACATTTATAAACTCTCTTTAAGCATGTGAAGTGATGGTTCTTAGTGGAGATAATAGTATTTATCAAGATGAGAGAAAGAAACACATCGTCACTTTTGGTGTGTTTGGCCAGTAGCACTGTGCTGGAGAGGTTGGTTACGTGCTGTGCTAGGCTTGGTTTTAAAAAGAACGACAATTTGGTCAAATACTCTGAAGTTCTGCGAAGGCCCAGTGTGGGTCTTGGAGCAGCAGCACTCTGGTGACCAAGGAGAAAATTTCTACCCAAGAATGGCTGTTGATAAGGTACTTGGTCTCATCTATGATTAAAAGATGCTATAAATAAATATCAAATTATTTATTTAATGTACACTAAATTACAAGCTTTAGGAAACATGACCTTTAGGAGAATACTTTTATGGTAGCTACTACCTTCTATTAATTATTCTTCTTTTAATGATTTCTAGCTTATTAGAAGTGGCATGAATAGATGAAAAAGTAACCGCTTTTCTCGTGACAAAGAAGCCAGGCAATGGCTGTTTTATTAGGAGCTTTGGAACATTTTGAGGATACTTATCTAACCAGGAATTTTGCCATAGAGAATTAGAAAGTTTTGTTAGTTTTGTCTGTAAATGGAAAACCAAGGTCTGGTCCTGCAGCCACTGGCTTTAGATAGTCCAGTTGGCCTTTTCATCCCCTTGCTGTGGAAACAAGCCTTGAACGCTGGAGAAGGGGTAGCCCCAGCGAGGTCAAGACCACAGTGCCAGGTTTGGGTTTTATTTGGGACACTTAAACATAACCAGTGGAAGGACAGTTGTCAGGACATGAAGACACAGAGTAAAAGATAATTTCAGGGCTTCTCAAGCAACAAATTATCCTTTTTTTTAGCTCAAATCTATCCCAAATCACTGATGGTTTTCTACCCAAATAGTGGGTAGAAGACAACAGGATTTCTTCTGCATTGGAAGAAGGCACTCAGATCTAATCACCCTAATTTAAATAGCAAATAGGTATGTGATTAAGGAACTGCTTCTGATGCCACCTGAAGTACCTCTCCTTGCTCTCCTTCTGTGACTTGCACAGGATAAAGTGATTTCTCTTGTTTGTTCTGTCCTTTTCCGTGGTTAGTGAATGCACATGAGCAGCAAGTGATGCTGGCAGATCAGAGGCTTGAAAAAAAAAGCCTTTTTTCCTTTACAGGCTTTTCATGGTGGAAGAATTTCTTGTCAAAGTCCTTTTTGTTCTTAAAAGGTATCTAAAGAACTCATCAATAAATAAGTCATAGACTTGAATCTTCCTCCAGCTTTTTGTGTCACCAATTCAAAGGGATTTTCTTAGACTTCCTAAATTTACTCATCTCAAATTCGACAACCTGTAATGCTACCAGAATAAGCATTTGTCTGTCTTGGATCTGCAGAGTGGGGTGGAACACGCAGTGAGTGTACGCATCTATGGCAGCTCCAGGCTGTCGGTGGTGAGTAACTATAGCAGTACTGGCTTCTGCCCTGCTTTGCAAACCTACCTAGGGCCGTGACACACACTCCCAAGCCTGCTCTTTAATGAAGTCCAGGCCAAGCATAGAATTATAGGGAGATTAGGGGGGTTTCCACCCCAACAGCATCATGTGGTGTAGCAGGCATATTCCAGGTAGTGTAATGTGGCAGTAGTGTGTTTGGATGTCAAGGCTGTGCAGCTCTGTGCTCTTTCAAACTCACTTCTGTTCATCCCCAAGCTTGCTTGTGCTACCACAACATCTCAGTCTGCACAGATGCGTGGCCCCCCTAGATGTGTTAGTGCAGAAGAATGATATCTTAAATGAATTTCCATTACTTTAGAAGGTAAGTCCAGGAGGAAAATACGATATGCTGCCTGAACAGTGTTAGCCAACAGACTGGATTAGCCTTAGCATTATTGAAAAGATCTGAAAAACAGTTTCCACTCCATTTCTCCAATAGTTCCAATTAGGATTCACTAGGAAAAGAACAGAGAAACAGGGAGAGAACACCATTATGCTGCAGGACGAATGAACAGTGTACCGGCATCTTAAACACGGCTTGCAGTCCTGGGCTGCTGTCTCAAAAAGGATACAGAAATAGAAAGATGCAGAGAAGGGATGGTCAAAGGATGCTGAATGCCTTCTGTGCTTCTCAGGGTGGGATGTTTCATTCTGGAAAAGAGATAACAAAGGGAAGATCTACAAAATCACAAGTGGCAGGTAGAAAAAGCATCGGGATAAACTGTTTGCGCTCGCTCTCTATACAGGAATTCAGGGCTATCAGGCAAGGTAGTAGAAGTCAGGTTCCAAAAATTGAAAGCTGGTGATTTCTTGTGCAAAGGGTTAGAGATCTGTGAAACTCCTTGCTGAAGGACCTGTATTAAAATGGGACAGCAATCATAGTGTGACACAGAAAGAGGAAAGCATGGAGTGAGTATACTGCCAGCAACTGATGAACTTTCTTGATCCCAAATCTGGCCTTCAGCTTAATCGTAAGCATCAAACCAAGATATACGCACGAGTTTTGTGAGAGATTTGAGTTAACCTACTCAGATAATCCACCTTCAGCATGTCCTACCAGGAGTGGCAAGTGCTCTTGCTCCCTCTTCCCTCCATGTGACACACTGCCTCAGCTGGGGCTGAGGAATTTAAATTGCTGTGAATGGGATGACATGCCTGCAGCAGGGGACAGCCCCGCAGTGTCTCTGCCAGTTGGTATTTCTGAATGTGGGAGAGAGCTGACTTTTCTATATTTATAAATCTGTGCTCTGTGAAAAAGGATCAGTGCCATGGTTATTTTATTGTTTTGCTCTGGTTTAGTTTTCAAAATTGGTTGATAGGCAAATCTGTGAGGAAGAGTGTCATCAACTGGGAAATATTGTATATAATTGAAAACTTCACATAGTCAGATAGCAGTGCCTGAGGCTCTCTGAGGTACACAAACGTGTTATAACAGCACTGAGCTGTTGAGGGGTAGTAAAGCACCATAGTTAAGCTAAGTTTTCTCTTGAATTGTCTAAGTAATTTAAGTTTAAAAAAAGAGTTGAGAGTAAGAAAACAGGATTCACAAAATGGAGACAGTTCTTGTGCTGTTTTTCACCCATCTCTTCCATTGCCTGTGGTCCCGCGTCCTGCTGAGGACCTCGGTTCAGATATCACTGACAGGGTAAAGCACCTGGGGGCCCAGCTCCTCATACCTGGCACACCTCCCTTTTCATGGGTGCTGTCCAGACTCTGCAAACATGCCCAGGGAGCACCTCCCACCCCACACTACCATAACAGCCTGGATTTTGCTCAGATGTGGCAGAGCAAGTGCGAGCCCTCCAGGCAGGGATCCCATTTTCCCTTCCTGAATGCCACCCCGTCGGGCTAGGGAGTAGCTCAGGAATTTCAGGGCAGAAAATCTGCCACCCTCTTCCTAAGTGTTTGCCCCTATTCAAAGTAGCCAAAAGTGAAATGAAGTGCCTTACATTCTAGTACCAGAGTTTAAAAGTAAAATAACCCCACAGGTTGCCAGGTTAGAAAATTTGCGTGGGCACAGTCTGGCTTCTCAGAAGTTTACAGAAGACTGAGCGGATAAACAGGTTAAAAATGCTCTAATCTCTTTCAGCCTAATACTAATGCTTGTTTGTAAGGATTTACGAGTATAGTATGTACCGTCAGCCTCCGTGGAGCTGGTGTCAGGTATCTGGCTACAGTCTTCTGCTGAGGATTAATGAATTCATATGTGTGGAGGCATCGGACAGGGAAGGGTTAGCTGGCACTAACATTATTTGTAATTATTAGATGAAATCTTCATATGACAGAAGGCATGAGCTGCCTTTCTAGGTCGTCCTATGAAACAGCGATTAAACACTGCTGAAAACACTGTTAGAAATGTTAATAATGGTGAACCAAGTCTATGAGATGCTTAAGATGAAATTGCAGTCTGAATTATTTTAATTTCTTCAGCTGCACAGTCTGTGCATCCAGAGCACTGTGAGAACAGGAATGTGATTTGTTTAATTGCTCTCTTCGGGCTTGTAGAGTTTTGCAAATGAACCTTTACAGAGCTGGGTTTTTTCCTTGACTTTTTTTTTTCTTTTTTGGTTTTCCAACAGGAATGTCCTAGTGGGGTTGTTAATGAAGAGACATTCAAACAGATCTATGCACAATTTTTTCCTCATGGAGGTAAGCAGAGTACTTTGCGTCTGTCGGGTTTATTGAAGCATGCCTTAACATTCATTACTGCCAGCTGGCTGCAAAACTACTTCAGATAATCTGTGCAAGAAATGTGAATTGAGCTTAAGCTTTGCAGGATCTTAAACAGAAACACAAACATTAAGGTAATTAAGTTAGGCCCTTTGAACAGTTATTTCACAAGAAAACAGACAAACCCACATTAAAGATTGCCCCTAGTTGTCAGCTCTTTGTTCCCTGAGTCCAAAATAGAAACTGGGGATTGATGCTTTTTTTGGTACTGAATTTCTGGATGGCAGAAAGCTAAATCGCTTCCCCCCAGTGTGTCTGCTTCCCTGCTGGTGGACTGCTGTGTGTGTAGTATCTAGCACAGAAGAGTCCCAGACCTCATTTTGGCCTGCAAATTAATCAAAACTTCCCTAAAATTCTTAAAGCAGTTCTTAGTTGATGTGTGAACTCCTAGCTACCCAAAATGATCATTTTTGGTGTTTGTGTGACTAAGATAGGGTCGTGTCATGTATTGGCATATTAAAGTATTGTATAAAACCTCTCAAATAATGTATGTTCTTGCCTTTTAAAAAATCAAGAATCTGTATGTTCTTCTAACCGGATATGTTCTGTGGAGATACTGTTCTCAAATTGAAAGAAATGAGTCATGGGCTTAAGTGGCTTTTTAGTAAAAGATTCAGTATTTGAGGCTTTCCGAATATATTCCAGCCTGTAGTAGCTGCAGAATACACTTCTTGTGGAATGATGACTGAAGTTTCTGCAAGAGTGTATGTGTGCATGTGCGTTTACTTTAAGAAGGTCACTAACAAGCAGTTTTTCAACTAAATGTGAAGATAAAACATGTTATGCTTATGTTTTACAATGCATGTGACCTCAAAGTTGTACGCCTATAAAAAGTTTACATTACATTTCAGTATGGACTTGATGATTTCCTATTGCAGTTGCTTTTGTTTTTGTTATAAAAAGCTACGAGTCTGTCTTTTTTTTAACAAATATGCAAAAATTTAAGTATTTATAATCTTAATGTATTTCTGGATGTGTTTTGTGTTTTCAACCTAAGTTCGAGTAAGTCCAAGGAACTCCAGTTACCCCAAGTAACTGCACTAACTCCTTGCAGAGACACATCTCGGGTGACTCCTTCCTTCCCATATGTGAAAAACAAAATGAAAATCAGGCACAGAAAATTCATCTTTTCATAGATAGATAACTTTTTTCCCCTCTACTGAAGTTGACAAAGACTTCCTTTCTTTTTTTTTTGTGTCCCATTCCCTTGAAATGTGATTCTCCCTTGGTTAATGATGATGGTAGTACAACCATGCTTAATAATAAATCAGTTTAACAGCAGATGCAATTTCATATTTTATACTGGTTTCTTTCACTTGGTTCCCAAACTGTTTGTATAACCTTAGCATCATAAATTGTGAGATTTCAGATTCCTCAGAGATTTTTTCACTTTTATGGCTCTCTGTACAGATAAACTCGTACATCCCAGAGGTAGTGAAGTAGCTCTGAATTATAAAAACTTTGTGCAGTGTCATCTCAGGCTTGTGATATTTTTGTTACATAGGGCTCCTATCCCTGGCAGGTTTTCATTTTTGCTAATCTGTCATCAAATGATACTAGTGATCTAGTATTTCTAATGTACATCATACCCTATTGAAATAAGACCTCTAGTTTAATATTTTTAGTTCATTGTTTAGTTTAGCTTAATTAGTTTTTAGTAGGACTGTCCCATAAGTAATTCTATTGTTTTCTTCTGGACCTATTTTATTTCAGAATCCTTCTCTTAAAAATGTAGTAGACAATTTTTTTTTCCTACAGTCCAGTGTGGACTATGGATCCGTCTATCCTTATGGATGACAGTAACTTAAGTATTTGATTTTTCTGCACACTGTTACACTTTCCTGGATTTGAATAATGTGAAAATATTTAATCATTTCATAGAGATCAGAGTAAAGAGATGCTGGGTCATTCCACCTGACTGCCTGCGTAGCACAGGGCACCAGGCTTCACCTGAATACCCATACGTTGACTGTGAAGACTCGGGCTTGACTAATGCTGTGTGCTAGAGGCAAAGAATAGAAGAGAAAAAAAGTGCGTGGCTGCTAGAATAGCAATGAAATAATTAAGGGAATTTAATGTCAGTTGCTCCTATCTTGAAAAGTTGGGCTCTAGTAATACAGAGAGCAGTGTGAATTGCCTCCAGAGCAGAGAACAGGCCAGTGAAGGTTGTAAGGTCATACACCTATTTAATTTTTTTCTGCATACCATTACAGTTTTTCCCAGTTAACAGCCATCCTTCACGTGGCCATAGAAACTGTTCTTCTCAATAGAAAAAAATTTCTAAAACCAGCAGTTTAAGATTCAAAAGGATGAAAATATGCCTCAGATGAGATTGCTTTTGGGCCAAACTCAGGTTACTGGAACTACACCCTTCTGAAGTTAGACAGTCCCTGGGTATCTCTGCTGTATCTCACACAAAGCAAAAGGTAGAGGAAGGAAGGACACATGCTGCAATCACTCTCTGGTGCTTTTGCAGCATTTCCCACCAGAGCTAATACTCCATTTGCCCCAGAGACACTCTTGGGTTTTGTTTTTTTTGCTCATTCTTTCAAGTAGAGCCCCATAATCCAGATTGTTTCTATTGTAATGAAAGGGTTTACATTTCAAGGCTGTTTTAAGGCAGGGCGTGAGCAGTATGCAAGTCCATGTTAACATTTAGTAGTTCATAGAATATCTGGCAATGCTACAAGGTTGGATTTTATACAAAAGGAAAATAAGGTCATAAATGTTGTTTAGAGCCATTAGTGTATAATGAACTGTTGTACCAATCAGCGCCCTTTGTGTTTTTCAGATGCTAGCATGTATGCGCATTATCTCTTTAATGCATTTGACACTGCACAAAATGGCTCCGTGAAGTTTGAGGTAATGTTTTGCATCCTCCTTTGATGCCTCTTTCTCAGTTTTGTGTTTTTAAGCTTCTCCATCCATTCTTCATTGTAAAATAGTAGGCCTTGTTGGATTATGGGTTAGAGGTTTCAGTCTAAAATCAGTTGATATTTTAAAATCTGGTTTGCTTTAGTTTATGCAGATGGAGTTGCATGTTTCCTTTCACTAAAGAAACATATAGAACACATTATTCAGTACCACGGTGAGAAAGTGTAGAGATTTATGTAGCAGAGAGGAGAGGCGGAGGACAGTCCAGTGATTTGGATTTTTGGATGTCAAAGAAAAGCCAGTACGTCGAGGAGAGGCGGAGGACAGTCCAGTGATTTGCACGGATAATTTGGATGTCAAAGAAAAGCCAGTACGTCATGTGTCTTCTTCAGTCATCATGCATTGCAGGGTTATATTTGTATGTTCCTGGAACACGGGGGGGGTTTAGCTTATTTGATATATTGAACAAGCATATATTGATATATTGAACAAGATATGTTGAACAGCAGAAAAGGACCTGGGGGTGTTGGTCGACAGCCAGCTGAACATGAGCCGGCAGTGTGCCCAGGCGGCCAAGAAGGCCAATGGCATCCTGGCCTGTATCAGAAATAGTGTGGCCAGCAGGAGCAGGGAA